GATATCTGAAATGGCTGGCTGGCCACTAAGCTCAAGTGATGTAAAAATGAATAACTCTTTAGTGTGACACTAGTATGGTGAGGGAGGGGAGCAATGAACCCAGATTTTCCATCTAAAAAACTGTGAATAAAAACTGATAGCTCTAGGAAAGCAATGAAAATGAGAGTTGTGCTCCTCTGATTTTTCTGTTTCACAAAGTGTAGAAAGACATTTCAACTGTTTGACACAATTTCAGGATCATGATGCCAGCCCCTGCCCCCTCCCCCCAGTACATTATAGTGGGGGAAAAGTCAAGGGACTGCCCTCGAGTATGTAGCACTGTTTGCTTTCACAAGCACCCATCTGAAATGATTTGTTATAAATAGTGAGAAACGACATGTATGCTATTTTCTGAGGGATGCACAGATAGACAGATGCATCCAAGCTGAAACAGCAGCTTGGATTAAAAAAAGGGAAAGCAGAGGAGGTTCCCTTCTTACAAATACTTAAGCAAATATTAACAAATTAGTTAACTCAGTTGTTAATTAGCTCTTTAAATTAATTGTTAATATTAACAAGCAAGCAAGGGAAAGGCAGTGTAAACAGGAGTTTCACATGTACATTTTTGTACGTTAATAAGCCTCTAAGAAGGGAAACGTGGGTAGTGCTTAAAACTTGGGGTCAGATTCCTATCATCTTTAATAGGCCTAAATTCCCACCAACTCCAATTTGTTCACTAGAGAGAAAGGACCCTGAGCCATGAAAGCTTTCATCAGAACACCGGGTTCACAAGCACCACAGTACGGTCTGAGCCAGCAGGGCTGTGAAGATGCATCTGCTGAGGTTTTGGCCCTACTTATATAAAATCCCACTTGACCAGATACTTGCCCCACTTCTTCTCCCCTTCCTTCCCCCCTCCATTAATTGCACTCTACATCCATAAAGGTGAGGGGGATGGATTCTACAAACTCACAACTGCCAAACTGTAATGATGAATGCCTGCCAAGTAATGAAACTTTAAATATAAACTGGAGCTTCACTTATACAGAACAAAATGTTCAATGCTGACACATGGCCACTCCCAGCCTCTCCAACTTCTGCATTTGTGAAAAGTAGTAATTAAAGCTGTATTCCATTCAAGCCTGCATGCTAGTCTGAGTCTGTGTACAGTAGGGTTACAATTGCTGTGGTCACTCTGCAGAGGACTGTTGATACTAAAATGGCTTATGTATGTTCATAAAATCACAGGTTCTCTCTTACTGCTCCAAACGCAATTTGCTTTAACTGTAGCCTATGAAGATTTATATCTGACAAAGAAAATTACTCTAAATTGCTATCAAACCATTTACAGGCCATGACTCCGCTCCTGCTGACATGTAAATAAATAAATCAGGAATTTATTAGTGTATCATCCACAGAGTCCAATCCAATATTGACCAGCTCAGTGCTGCAGCTGTGGGGGAAAGAGAGCCACTTGCCCTAAGTTACCTCTGTCTGGCTCTTCAGAATTGCATTCTCTCGTTAATCTTTAGGCTGGTGCAAAGGTTCTGCAAAAGACAGCCACCTCTTTTAGAGCAGTACCTTTATATTTTCACGCAGAAAACCTGGCACAGATCTTTTCAGTCAACTTTTGCTGGCTTGGTTTTAAACTGGAGCTACCTTAACTTAACAAAAAAGGAGAGTTTTGGAATGATAGCTGCTGGTAAAACTTGCATGTATTAGGTCCCAGCTCTAGTGCATGTCCTTCCATTTCAGACCTTCAGAAGCAAGAATGGTACCTTGGCTGTACTGTGATCCGAAAGATCACCCCATTTATGGGGAAGAGAGCCTGATCCTTCAGACACTTGCAGTGAGTTATCCCATCCCATTATCTTAAGTGAGACTTGTGTTCAAGTGCCTGTAGAACTGAAGTCCTAAGTCTCAGATCTGCATTTACAGGACAGTACCATTTGAATGTAAATCCTATGCGACCACACAGCAGACTTTTATATTGCCTTGTATTCCATGTTGCATGCCTGCAAACCAAAATGCTTCAGCTCATATCCTGAACATCCTTGGTTTAACTGGAAATGGGCATCACAATTCTTAAGTGCAGTTGTTTCTACTACCTTCCCTTTAATGATCATTAAAAAAGTCTGCCAGGGATGAAATGAGAAGTAGCCAATGCTGATCCTCAAATTTATTTTTGTTTCAAACATTTATAATTCTTCCATCCTTGACTGACTCTCTTGGCATGCAGGAACCTCAGCTGTACTCTCAAGTAATGGGATGCTATGATACAGAAAGGCATGGATGCATTATTTTGTCTAGATCCGCGGATTTCTTGTGCCAGCTAAAATAAAGGCTGACTGGCTTCTCGAATTCTTTGCAAATTCTATAGGCGTGTTTATTTTCACCATCATGTGTCCCTGGAGATAAGAACTGTAAAATGCAGAACACCCACAAAGTTAGAGCCCTGGGAAAAGGTTTGATTAAGCTACTGAGGGGCTGGGGTAGGAAAGGGTTCAGCGTTGGTTTTGAGGGCGAAGGGCAGCTGGGCTATTTCTGTGAAGGCATAACAGAAAGAGATGCCCAGCCAGCAACATAGTGGGTGTCCAACTGAGGGCAATATATTAGGACTTTGGTAACTGCAGTCATTGCACGCGGCTCCTAACCAATCTCCAGTGCTGGTTTCACATATATGGAATTACTGCAGTGCTCTCTGCATTTATTTGGTTTTCATAAAGATGCAATTTTGACAAGTTCTTAATTAGACAAAGTCACAAGTCCCTACAGAAGTCCAAGATCTGTATGAAAAGGACACCTCTTGTCCCCCAACACCAGCAGGGAAATTGGAACCTATGATGGCTCTCAAAAGATGCTCTAACCTGAAATCTTGCATATGGGTCACACAAATCACCTCCATAACAACTCTGTGTGCTTCTTCCAGCAACATATCTGTTTGAAATGAGCACTGGCCAACGTGCCCTCACTGATATGTGCAACTCACCCTGGTTTTGGGAGCTAAAATGCAAATAGCACAACTAGGGATTAGGTGAGTGAGACATCTCACATATCTGTCCTCCTGCTGCTTGACTGGACCTCTGCACAGGAGCAATTTCACCTTTAGCTGCTCAGCTTATTAAAAGAAGATTGAGACATGACTCAAGTACAGTGGGCACTGACTTGAGTGCCTGCAAAGAGAGAGTAGGACAGTATTAGCTGTACTTCAGCTGATATCATCAAAACCAGTTTTAAGTAAAGCAAATACAGGAGTAGGCTGCTTTCCATTCTGGATCTTTTTTCCAAGTTTGGAGACTGTATATTCTAACTATGTATAGGGGTAGATATAAACTTGTTGCTTTGGAAAGACAGAGAATTTTGTTTTCAATTTCTTCAGGTGTTCTTTGGATGTACTATGCACACATGCCTGAACACTCACACCACACATGTACTGCACCTTGCAAAACCCTCCAAAATAACCACCAGATTCTAGGAAAGCACAAATTTGATGCCTTTAATTACACACTGTCTATCTCAGTATTGTATGCAAGTCAGAAAAGGAGGAGAAAGAGAACTATGAGCTTCAGTTTTACATCTCTGGGCATCATGAAAAAAATATAGTTTTTGTTGGTAGCAGAAATTCCTTCCTTCTTTAAGAATGCAAACAACCACCTATGCTGAAAAAGACATTTTGGGAAATGCACAGAACCTAAATTACAGTTCTATTCTAATGAATACTAGACATCAAAACAGCACTGATACATGCAGCTTCATGCAAAGTCAAAAAACTACAGCTATCACATTTTGTTTAAGAAATAAGTGTCATGAAGAATAAATAAGTTTCTCTCTGGAAAAGGGAATATAAACAAAAATTAACCAATGAGACTTTCATCTAAAACATCCATGAAATAAAGCAGTAATAAAACGTTTACTTCCATAACAGCCTGTGGTCTACTTTTATACGTCCCTGTAAATAATTCTGTCATTTAGAACAAGAGATTCCAAAAACGTTGTTCTAAGTAGCTGTAAACTGTGCATGATAATTTTAAATAGGACCAAATATCATTTCAAAGTTCTAAGCATTATGACCAAAATTTACCTATACTACCCTGTTTTCAAGCGTTACTCACCATATATGAAGGGAATATTAAAACCCGCTTGTGTTTGCCACATGGCCACTGAGGATCATCTAAAAGATTTGGGTCATATTCAATATAGTCTCCCAGGTCACTACCTATAAAGATTGTATAAAAATAATTAACTGTATTGAGAAATTTCTTAGACTTGGCATAAACAGAAATAAAGTTTACAGTCAACCTACAAAATGACTTCTGCATTGCCTTTCTTAAGGCAATCAGATCCCATTAACTTTTTGAATGATAGGTTGGTGCCAGGTTTTCTGAGATGTTCAAGGAATATTGACACTGTTTGCCATTCCTTTTAAATACAAATAAATTTGCCTTAAACAGAAGTATCAATCCCTCAGATGCCTTACAGATGTTGCAAATTACATTTTCATTTGCAAACATGTTGAGAAACTGTAATTCTTCCAATTCTGAATTCTCAGCTGTTTGTGAAATTGCATAATGTAGCTGTAGTTTACCATATAAATAGGATTCTTTAATAACTGTATACAGTATCCACACCCCTCCTTCACACTTAAGTGAGAAGAAAACTTCTTAACTTGTTGAGACAAAACCAGAGGAAAGGCATGGGAAAATATTTCAGTTAGTTTCATCAGTAAAAGAATATAACAGAGTACCAGTTTTGATTTTTCTCCTGTTTATACAGACACTTCATTTGCTTCAAATAAAAAAATGTCTTAAACGTATAATGTTTTGGCTAGTGCTTTTTGGAGAGTAGGAGAGAAAGGTAAGAATGTAAACACAAAACTTTTAATTCAATGCTAGTCCCAAGTAAAATTTTCACAGCTGATTTATGACTTTGCAATCCTGTATGTTTTTTCTACAGTACTTGAGAAGAGGCTGGCCCTTGCATATGAGGAAAAGAAAAAGATGATAGCCATAGCAAAGTACAGTAACTGTGAGAGATGCCTGGGAAGGTAACAGGCTATTTTGCTCCAGTAATGTTTTCTACTTGAGACCATGTACTTTAAGCCAGCTCTGCTACGTGAAATATAGACAACTAGAGAAAAGACTTTCTATAATATCCATTAGTCATAATTTTCTTTGACAACTAACCTTTGGTTTAAGATTTTTTTCTAAATTAACAAAGAGACATCCCTCCTCCAAACAACATTGTGAAGAATTTACTATTGCAAAGGTGTACAATGATATCAAAATAAAAGAATACCAGTCTTACCTGTGTCAATGCTCCCTTGGGTGCTGTTAGCCCTTGCCAAAGAAAGGCTACGATGGCTTGCATTGCGAAACTGGGAGAAGGATGAGGTGGAGTCTATCGTGTTTCTCCTTGTTCCCAAGGCATTAGTTGGAAATAGAAACTGTGTGTAAGAGACTGTCTAAAAACAGAGTCAGAATAAACACAATTATTAGCACAGCTCAGCCATAACAGGATCCAACTGCTTTGACCAAGTTACAAATTGGGGAAGTTCTTCCCCCCCCCAGATGTGACAGTTGCTCACAAGATTGACACAAGCCACCTGTTTCCCCTCTCTCTGACCTATGCATCTATTCAGGATTGCTTTTGTACAAACATTAATCTCCTAAAAATAATACATCTCCCCTACAAAAAATAATACAATAATAATAATACAATAATACCTCCCTTGCAAAACCCTGATGTGTTGTATTTACCAAATTCTAATCAAGGGCCTGTTTCAAAAATCTACTGGCTTTCATAGTTTTTGTATCAGCCTTCACCTGCATTTCTCCCCCTAAGAAAAAGGAAGCAGATTTCAAGTACTTCTTTAGTAAAGCACTATTTCTATATACAGTGCCAGGTGTGCTGAAGAATCTGGAGGGAACCTTGCTTAAACAATATATGGCTTTATGGGTCTTTTCTCCCATAGCATTTTAGCTGGCAACAAAAACAGTAACATAGCTAGCACAATATTGGAGGTACTACTTCACGCCAATGGCAAGCCAAGGTAATCCATTGCCTGGCAACATGGATTAAGGATGAATGAAAAACTTAAAGCAAATTTATGCAATTAATTTACCTTTTCTATTTACAACTTTAGCAGCAAGAACATTTTGATTCTTAAAAGTATTCATTATTCAGACTTGGATTTTTACAAATAATTCTTGACTGTTTATTAGTACATGCGTATTGAATTCAAAATCTGAGCTGTGATTAATTTTGAATGAGTCTATAGGGCAAAGATTAAGATCTTTGCAGGGTGGGGGATTGGACCAGGACGGAGGAGTGGTGGACCATGGCCCATAAAACTCTTATTTGTGTGCACAATGACTAGACAGTGCAGAAGGAGCCTCTAAGCATTACTGCAATATAAATCAAAGACAATGTATTACCCTCTTAGTGCCCGAACTGAACCACTAATTAAATTTGGTTTTCTGCACAAATTGAGCAAGGAATTCTTTATTTTCCATATATGCTCTTAAAATTATTTGTTTTCCCAGAGTTTCAGAATCTCTTTTTTATTCAAAGAAACAATGCTGGATCTGAAGTATTCACCTAGCACAAAAATATTGCCTCGCTGCTAAATCTTATTTAAAGACATAATTTATTAACATTAAGTATGTAACTACAATACTGCTTGACTACTTGATATGTGCAAGGCAAAGGAATGCCATCTGATTTAGTAATGCTCCATAGCCTTAGTTATTACCAAAGGGCAATTTCTCCAGGAACAAACTAGTTGGTCTGTGCCAACAAACTGCAAATTCCTTTTACATTTCATTTATTTTATCATAATTCTCCATATACTGCACTGATAGTTATTCTCTTACCTTTCCTTCCTCCCTACCCTCCCTATACCTATCTATCTAGATTATAAATCTGTTAAAATATTTTTGGTTGGCTTTAAGTTTTTTTTGTTTTGGGGTTTTGTGTTTTTTTACATTTCCTTGCAAAAAATCTAAATCCTAGGTGTAGGAAACTATTAAATAAATAAAACATTTTTACCTTTCCATCAGCACCTAGTTCCACACCTTCAAGACCAATTATCTCTTTTAAGTACACTCCTCCAGTAGAATGACACTGACGTCCACCTTCCAATTTCATATCCCTGAAAAACAGAAGCCAGTGATAAACACACTTTTCTTACAATAGAAAGTCTGCTTCATACATATTCTGACCTTCCCAGACAGATAAAACAAAAGTGACAAACCATTCAACACAAAATCTAGATCTGACAAATTCTTCCACATACAGCACAGTAGATGCGTCTACAAGAGACGCTGATGCACAGTAACCTGATACTACTGAACAGTAGCATCATGTGGCAAAACCCATGATGCAGCGCTACTGCACAGTAGTATTAGGCCACTGTGCAGTAAGTGTCACAAAAAAGGCATTTGCCCGTGCTACTGTGCAGTAACTCAGGTTACTGCACATTTATTTAGTACTTGTTTATAAAAGTACTGAATAAGTGTGGCTGTAACCACTGCTTAGTAGCCTCTCATGTTGCACCTATACATTATATAAAAAGTCACAAAATACATCAAGTTTTGTTTTACTCATAATGCAAAAAAGCTGAGTGACCATGAAAAAACAAATCACCATATCTGAACTAATAATCATCACAGTTTGTAGGTACTGGGACTGGAAGGGACCTTAGGAGGTCATTCGGTCCAAACCCCAGTCCAAGACAGGACTTCATCCCTGACTAAACCATTCTAGACAAATGTTTACCTAACCTGCTCTTAGGCAGGATGGAGAGTCCACAATCTCTTCAGGTAGCCCGTTCCAACACTTAAGCATCCTCATAATAAGACAGTTCTTCCCAATATCCAACCTAAATTTTGCTTGCTACAATTTAAGACTACTACTCCTCGTCCTGTACCCTGTGGCCATAGACTATGGTCTATTTCCAAATTTTGTATAACCAACCTTTAGGTATTTGAAGACCATTTTATATATCTCTCATAGAATATTTGTCCCACAAACAAAAGAAAAGGAAAACTATAAAGGGGGAATGAGGAAAAGTTAAGTCCATATTTAAGTATCTCAATTTAAAGACTTTTTGGGCGCTCTCAGTTGCATATTAAGTCTGCTGCAGAAGAATTACTAAGGTTATTAAAGTTAAGTACGTGCTTACATGCTGGATGGGATTGTTAGGCCTTGATCAGTGAAGTCATTGGAAAAAGTATATATGCTGGAAAAAAAGCTAAGAAAAGCTGTGAAGGATCTTCACTGCATTTGGAACTGCTGGGCTAGGTTATTAATCTGAAATGTTTGATGCAACAAGTGGAGTCTGTCCTGATTCCTTTTATTTACATTTCAAACTGTCTTTTTCATTTTATTTCCTCCCAAAGTGAAAGAAAGTAGCCCCTCATAAAGCATAATAAGAGCAAAATACATCCATCTTCAGAGGACACCATGTTTCTATACTAAGAGGCCTTTGTACCAAGTAAATACTGAATCCATTAGAAACCCCCCCCCCGAACCCCAAACAATAATCCTAGATCCTTAAGTGAAATCCATGTAAGAGTGCCGCATTCTTAGTTGGTTCTTGATATTTTCCTGAGACTGCATAATAATTGTTATGTTAAAATAACTCCTTAGCAGAAACAACAGATAATTTTTTCAGTGCTTATACAGAAGCAGCCTGAAGGAACAAGTTGTATTAAAAAGGTAAATGTTATGTGGTATTATTTTTATGATTGCTGGATAAATTACGCAAGACTCCATTGCATTAATTCCTTAAATCAAAACCTAAATATTTTAAACTAATATTTAAAACTCCAATAATGTGAAGAAAAAGAATTTCCTTAGGTGTCAAAAGAATTATTTCAGGTATCCAGGTTGCGGATGGTCTTTGAAATATTGTGAAAGCACTCTCGGCTCCCTTCGAACAATGTTATGGATATGGAACAGGAAATAATGCCATTATGAATACAAAGGCAAAATCAAGGAACAGTTCAATAGAAAAAGGGGAACAGTAACTGGTAACATGTCAAATGGAAGTAAGTGGCACACCTTAAAAGACCAGCAGAGCTGTTTTTAGTATCTGTGGCCAGTTCATAAAAGGAATTGACTTTTAGAAGCGAGATTAAGACCAGCTGGAAAATAAACACAACTACTAGACTGTTTCTTAAATATTAGATGAAGGTTAATATAAAAGAGTTCCTCAACTTTTTCTGTCATTTTTATCTTGCCTAAATAAAGGCCCCCTAGGGCCTTGTTACTACATGGCATTTTGTCTTAGCCCACTCAAAATGATCATACTGCAAGCGCCTTTCAGGAACATTTTCAATTGTCCTTCCTTTTCAGAAATTCTACACTTGTACATAAAGCCTGATTGCTCATTTTGTTAAACAGAGTGGTATGACATTATGCAGATTCAAATCTATTTGTTCTCAGCATGGACAGAATTGAATTCCTTTTTCCTGAAGGAGACTAGCCCAAATTACCCAACATGTTCCTCCTTTACACATAAAAAGCCCCCCAGCCACTTTAGTGAATTAACATTTCCCCCAGGGTAACATAGGGTCTTGGCTTATAGTTCTTATTGGCACTTTGAGTTCTCTCAGGTTGTCATTCTTGTTACTGTATTGCTTTGTACCAAGCCTAAATGCATGCGTGTCAGCAGGAAGAACTCATTTTTTCACTACAGTGTAGTATAGGAGACCCCAGAAAGGCTCAAAGGCTTGTGTTAAGATCTCTGCTGACCCTGCTAAACCAAGAAATAACCTATTCTGGAGTGTGAGCAAAGCTAGTCTGAAATTGCTTCTTTCAGGATCTATAAAATGCAAATGTAGTCAACAGCAATCATTACTGTAGCATTCAGGGACCCTCTCCACTCTAGCACAGCAAGCCCCAGGGTCTATGTTACAATCCCTATCTTCAGTAGAGTTCAGAAACAGATTTTTATGTTAAAATGCTGGCGGCTCAAAAGATCCCAAAGCAGTTGGGGGATGGCGGGGGGGTCAGGCCTATGGGCCTGTTTCTTCCGATGCTGAACTTGCTAAGTGGGCCACATCATTCCTCAGGAGCTATGGTGTATTTTTTAAAGCAGCAGGCAGGGTAGATTTGCATCTTATAGACTAACGTGAGAGAGAGAGCGAGAGAGAGCGAGAGATAAGCTTTAGTGAGCTGAAGCTTGTGTCATCAGCATCTGATGAAGTGAGCTTCAGCTCACGTATATATATCTACCTCGGTTAGTCTATATGGTGCAAATCTACCCTGCCTTCTACCCGACCTCAGACTAACATAGCTAACTATATCTCTTTGTTTAGGAGCATTGGAGGACTGCGACCCTTAAGGTACAGTCCCTCACCAACTGCTTCAGAGGCGTGACTCTGGCTAATTACCACTACTTGACTACCACTTATTTCTACAGCTTCTATCTGTGTTTGTATGAATTGTTAGCTTAGCCACATCTTCCATTTTTGTACATTTTGTTTTATAACGCGTGCAAAAACTTTTTGAGCTCCTGATGAGTCCTGGGCTCGAGATTCTGCAATTCTGATTGGTGGAGACAATGGGTTTATCTGTCTTCACTGCCTATATGTGTTTATTGTCTATTATAGGAACTTATCTTTATTGTTGCCTGTGTACGTCTATGGTATTGCTACCTCAACCTACCTGGGTTGATCTAAGTTGATGTTCATATGCGTTTGTGTTGATGCCTTGACTTACCTGTTCTAAAGTGTTAATGCATATTCTGTGCAAGGGGGTAAATTATTGCAATATGCTGTGAATCACCCAGTTCATGTTTTTCCAGTCCCTCCAAGTGGTGTAATATGTCAATTACAGGTTGTTGAATAAGGTGTCACATACTAATTTTACTGTAAATATTTAATGTTTCTTATTCATATTTGTTTATTGTAGCAATAAATTTGTATATAGTTGAGTGCTTTGACTCGGCCTGGCTCTGCAGAGAGGAGAGGGGGTTGCTCCCAGGTGGCAGGCTCCTCTCTCAGCACTCTTGCCTGATCACCATCCCTTCCACTGGTAGACAGGACACACCTGGGCTATACATACTTAATAAAGAATTTTACAAATATGAAATCAAACTTAAAGCTAAGGCCGTGCATACAGTTAAGCATGCAAAAGTCAGGAAATGTGAAGATTAGGAGCCCATATACTATCTTACTGAATAATAAGAGACAGGGGCTGATTCTTCTCATTGGTTGAGGACTGACCTTGTTTTATGAGTTAATCATTTGCTTTAAAAATCGTATTTGTGTCTTTTGTACAAGGTAACATGTGGTCTAATAATGTTATTTACCAAGTATATTAAAACAAAGTCTCAAGGTTTGACAGGATTCAGAGTCTAATGTGCCAGCCATCTGAGAGCTCCAGCAAAAGTAGCGAGAAAAGTGCAGTTTTCTGCCCATCCATTTTACTAAATGACCACAGCATTCTTTTAAAATAGCACCCAGCAATCTGTATTTACAGTAGAACAGGGACAGTTTTTGATTACCTCTGCCCTACATAAGACTGTTTTTGTTTGTTCTGACTGCATAATCTAAGATGGAACATTCACCCAGTACATTATTAGAAAGATAGACAGACAGACTATCAACAGATGAGTAGCACCATATAAAAGTCTCCTATTATTGCCTTCAGAAGTTTAAAAATTCTTGAATGAATGTAAAACTGCAAGATGTGATATATATATAAAACTCCGTGCAAGACTCCTGCTGGGCACTTGCTCTTTAAATGGCATTAGCTGAATCCTTTCAACCGTTGAATAATTTAAGTCAATTAAATATTAACTAGATTTCCAGAAACCTAAAAAGAAAAGAAAAAAATCTACTTCCAGAAGCAAGAGCCTGATAAGTTAATGTTATTTGGAAACATCATTTCTTTATGACAAATGTTTCAGAGTAAATACACTTCATATCTTGTGATCACAGATTGATTAAGATTACTCCAAAATCAAAACCAGTTCAAATTCACAGGAATCCAAAGCAAAATTGCGCTTTTATCCTCCATCATAAATAATCCCTATGTTATCTTATTTGTTGTAGGAACAAAGGCAATTGCAACTTTGGCACAGATTTGGTACCAGACACATTAACACCATGTCTTCCACTAATAATGTGGATGGTTCTTGCT